GCTGGCGCGGGATCGGGCAGTGTTTCGTTCTGCTGTGCATGGGGTCGCTATGAGTCGGAAATGACTCAACGGCACTTAACAACAACAACAACAACCATCAAACTCACCTGTTTTCAGTGAATGCTTTTTCATACATTTGCAGTTGTGTAACATTAGCACACCCAGTTTTAGAACGTTTCCATTACCCTAGGGAGATTCCTTGTATCCATTTGCAGCCATTTTCCATTCCCACCCCCAGCCCTAGGCAACCACTTTCTATATTTATAGATTTTTTTTTTCCTGGACATTTCATATTAATGAAATCACACAATATGTGGTCTTTTGCATCTGGCTCTTGCACTTGGCATAATTATTTTGAGAATCATCCATATTGTTGAGTGTCTCAATAGTTCATTCCTTTTATTGCTGAATCATACTCTATCATCTCAGTATACCACAGTCTATTTATCCTTTCATTAGTTGATGGATATTTGGGTTGTTTCCATTTTCATACAAGTCTTTGCATGGACACATGTTTTCATTTCTCGAGTAGGTTCCTAGGAATAGAATTGCTGGCTTGTATATTAACTCAGTTTTTAACTCTTTGAGAAACTGCCAAACTGCTTTCGAAAGTGACTAAAGCATTTTACATTCACATCAACAATGAATGAGGGCTCCTCTTTATCTACATGAAGGAAGATGTTGAAGCTGCAATGAAGGAATTGGCAAAGAACAAGGCTCTGGGAATTGACGGAATACCCATTGAGATATTTCAACAAACAGATGCCACACTGGAGGCACTCACTCGGTTGTGCCCAGAGATTTGGAAGACAGCTACCTGGCCAACTGACTGGAAGAGATCCATATTTATACCCATTCCAAAGAAAGGTGATCCCACAGAATGTGGAAATTATAGAACAATATCATTAATATTGCACTCAAGTAAGATCTTACTGAAGATACTTCAAAAACGGTTGCAGCAGTATATTGACAGAGAACTTCCAGAGGTTCAAGCTGGATTCAGAAGAGGACGTGGAACAAGGGATATCATAGCTGCTGTCAGATGGATCTTGGCTCAAGGCAAAGAATACCAGAAAGGTGTTTATTTGTGCTTTATTGATTATGCAAAGGCATTTGATTGTGTGGATCATGACAAATTATGGATAACATTGAGAAGAATGGGAATTCCCGAACACTTGATTGTACTCATGAGGAACCTGTACTTTGACCAGGAGGCTGTCATTCAAACAGAACAAGGGGACACTTCATGGTTTAAAATCAGGAAGGGAGTGCGTTGGGGTTGTATCCTTTCCCCACACTTATTCAATCTATATGCTGAGCAAATAATCTGAGAAGCTGGACTATATGAAGAAAACGTGGCATCAGGATTGGAGGAAAAATCATTAACAACCTGAGATACACTGATGATACAACTTTGCTTGCTGAATGATGATGACTTGAGGCACTTACTGATGAAGATTGAGGAATACAGTTTGCAGTATGGGTTATATCTCAATAAAAAGGAGAGAGAAATCCTCACAGCTGGACCAATAAGCAGCATCACGATAAATGGAGAAAAGATTTGAGGTTGTCAAAGAATTCATGTTGTTTGGTTCTACAGTTGAGGCCAATGGAAGCAGCAGTCAGGACATTAGATGACATGTAGCACTGGGAAGGTCAGCTGTGAAGGAACTCTTTCAAGTTCTGAGGAGCAAGGATGTCTCCTTAAGGACTAAGGTGTGCCTGACACAGGCCATTATATTTCCAATCACCTCATATGCATGTGAGAGCTGGACAGTGAATAAAGAAGACCGAAGAAGAGTTGATGCTTTTGAGTTGTGGTGCTGGTGCAGAATGCTGAAGGTACCATGGACTGCTAAAAGAACTAACAGATCTGTCCTGGAAGAAGTACAGCCGAGATGCTCCTTCGAAGCGAAGATGGCCAGACTTCATCTCATTTACTTTGGTCATGTTGTCAGAGGGGACCATTCCCTGGAGAAGGATGTCGTGCTTGGTAAGGTGGGTCGACGTAAGAGGGGAAGGCCTTCGACAAGATGGATTGACACGGTGGCTGCAACAATGGGCAAGGATCATGGAGCTGGCGCGGAATCAAGCGGTGTTTCATTCTGCTGTGCATGGGGTCACTATGAGTTGGAAGTGACTCGATGGCACCTAATAACAACAACAACAACCAATACTTGTTATTTTCCATCTATTTTATTCTGGCCATCCTGGTGGGTGTAAAGTGGTATCTCATTGTCATTTTATTTTACAGTTCCCTAATGACTAACAGTGTTGAACCTCTTTTCTTGTGCTTTTAAGCTATTTGTATACCTTCTATGGAGAAATGTCTATTCAGATCCTTTGCCCGTTTTTTTTTTTTTTTTTTTTAAATTAGGCTGCTTGTCTTCTTTTATTGATTTGTAGAAGTTCTTTATATATTCTGAATACAAGTCCTTTATCAGATATGTGATTTGCAAAGGAAAATCAAGCTCTCTCTGTCTTCCTCCTTTTTAGATATATTTTGCCAGTAGTGCATTTGGAACAGAGAACATCAGGACCTCAGGAGGCTACTTCCACTTGGCTAATATCTTCCATAACCTTAACAAGTTGGACCTGGCAGATACCCTGTATACCAAGGTGAGTGGGGAATGTGAGATCTGAACTTTGCTACTTAGGCCTGGTATCTTACAACTGGTATCAGCCTATCCATGAAGAAATTGATTCATAGAGATGTAGTGACTGGCTCAAGGTCATAAAGCTGATACATGGCATACTTCATTTCTCTTTCTTTCTGTTTCTCCACTGCCAAAAAAGAACAGTCCTGAGCATGCATATAGTGAAAAACCAAACCCCTTCAAACAGATTGTCATATGTTTGGTTATACTCACAGGAGCAAGCTAATGTGGACATGTTAGGATATGCAATGGGGAAGGAGAGATTTTCAAGGGAAATTCATTGTTGGAAAGTCTTGTCGAGGGGTCAGAGAACATGCGAATACTTTAAAATCTCCAACTTTACATGTTAAACTATTTCCAATATGTTAAAATATCACTTACATTCATATAGTAACAGCTCACTTATCAGGAAGTCACTTAGCAAGGGGTCACTTCTATATGTGATACAGGCTCTCCTGCTGTGGCTGTTGACTCTTATTTTGGATTCACTTCTCAGGAAGAGGCATTATGATATAACTGAAAAACAATGGGCTTTGGACTCAAACAGATCTAAGTTTAAATCCTGGCCCCTTACCAGTTCTTACCTGAGTCAAGCGTGATCTTAACTCCTCTGAGGCTCAATTTATTTATCTGCAAAATGTGAATAATAAGAATAGTTACCTCAGTTCAGATGTTGTGAGGCTGTGACTGTGGTTCGCTAATAAAGGTTTAGCATTGCATGTGTTCAGCAAATGGTAGCCACTGTTATTTAACTCCATCAGGGTTGCCTCTAGATCCACCTGGCACATGCCTTTTACAGCCCAGTACTTATCACACTTACTTTAGCCAGGCCTGTTCTGGGATCCTAAGGCTCCCTCTACCTCCACGTACAATGAAGGATGGTGTCTTCAGACTTTTGGCAAACTTGGCCGGGAGGACTACTCTTTCCAACTGGCTGGTGTAGGGGCCAAGGTCTGATCTGCTTGTCTGACTGCCATTTCTTTTCCCAACAGGTCACTGAGATCTGGCATAAATATTTGAATAATCACTACCAGGTCCTCTCACAGTCTCGCCTCCAGCAAATGGATTTACTGGGCAAACAGTTTGAAAATGACACTGGCTTGGGTAAGTGGCAGCTATTTCTAGGAAGCAGAGTAGTGCCTTCATCTCACCAAACACACAAGCCTTGCCCCTAAGAGGGAGTCCCTGGATTGTGCAGATGGTTAACACACTCAGTTGCTAACCAAAAGGTTGGCAGTTTGAGTCCACCCAGAGGCACTTGGAAGAAAGCCCTGGCAATCTACTCCTGAAAGATCAGCCACTAAAAACCCAATGGAGCACATCTCTCAAGGGGCAAGGTTATGATGGCTTCTTGGCCACAGCCAGCTACCCAGAGGGAGCTAGTAGTTGGACCTGTGGCTCAGGACCAGGGTTACAGGGGATATCAAGCTCAATTGGCAGAACATACTACACAAAAACATTGTTCTACATCCTACTTTGCTGAGTAGTGACTGGGGTATTAAAAGCTTGCAAGTGGCCATTTAGATGCAATGTCTTGTCAAGGGGTCAATGAGAGACCCTTCGTTGTCAAGAGTAAAGAAAAATGAAGAAAACCAAAGATGCATGGAAATAATTAGTCCAATGTGATCCTTAGCCTATATGACCATGAGACCAGAAGAACTAGATGGTGCCTGGCTACCACCATCAACTACTTGGAGGTGGATTGGTGCAAGAGATCCTAGATAGAGTGGGAGAACAATATGGAACAAAAACTCAAAATCATAAAAAAAAAAAAAAGAAAGACCAGGCCTAATAGAGTCTGGTGAGATCTCTGAGAGCATGGCTCCTAGTTACCCTTTGGGTCTGGAACTGAACTCACTCCTGTGACTTCCAGCCAAACAATAGACAGGCATATAGGGTGAACATTTACATCTTTTATACTCCTTGGAGAGATCAATCATGGGAGAATAGAAGGGCTGTGTATGCACAGGGAGATAGCTCAGGGAGTGGGAGTGCATGGGAGGAAAGGACACAGGGAAGAGGTAACTATGGGGAGGAAGTGGAAGAGGAGCTGTTGCATTGTGGGAAATTGTAGTCAATGTCATGAGACAAAGTGTATGTGAGCTGCTGTATGGAAAATGAATTTGCTCTGTAAACTTGCACCCAAATCACAATAAAAATTTAAAAACAAAAAAGGAGCACAGGTCTAAACTGACACACATGGGGTTGCCATGAGTCAGAATCGACTCCACAGCAACCAGTACTGGTACTAGTAAGCACTTCTGGGTTTGGGGAGAAGAATTAAGGTGCTGCAGCTACAAGGCTCCATTTTCTTAGCTATAGAATGGAGGCAGAAGAATAGTACCCAAAGAATCCTGCTGAGCTAAATTCCCTGTATTGGGAGTTGTAAAGATCTAGAATTCAGGGGTGAGAAAGTGAAGCCTTAGCAACTTTGGGACCTGTGGGAGTGAGCATAGTCTTCGGATACTCTGATAATGAGAAACTAAGCCAAGCTGGAGAGCTGCTGCAATCTGCCCAGCGTCCTGCTCTGCCTGTGAACTCACTATGGTTGTGCTGTCTCCACCAGTGCCCCTGGGAGCAGGCTTGGCTGAAGACCAGCTGGGTACATACCTGCCTGTTTCCTCCCCTCCCCTTCCAATGCAGATGAAGCCCAGGAGGCAGAAGCCATTCGGATCCTCACTTCAACCTTCAGCGTTCGAGAATCTACATATAACAAAGCCCCAGAAAAAACCGTCTTTGTTCTGAAAACCCTGGTCATGCTCTACTACCTGATGATGAATTATTCAAAGGCAAGTTTACCTAGAAAAGCAGCAAGTCTAAGTTAGAGAAATTCCTCCAGTTGAGTTCAGCTATGTTTTGCCCAATTCCACCAGCTTTTGCCCTCAGAGCAAGTCCTCACTCCAAAAAAATTCAGATGCTCATGACATTTCTTATTTAGTGAATCTAGCCTGCATTAAGGAACAAGATTGTTTTCTTCCCTCGAGGAGGCCTTCCAGGAATTGCTTAGGTAAACTGAGGGTACGGCAGCCTGCAAGGCAGGGAAGTCCTTAGAAGAGTGGAGTGGTAGTTATGCTTGCCCTCAGTGAGTCCCCTTGTTGCTGGAAGCATTCAGGCAGAAATGGAATGCCAGGAAAAGATGAAAAAGTAACTTTTTTTGAAGTGCTCATTATATGCCATTCTCTGGCCTAAGAACTGTACATGAATTATCACGTAATTAATTCTCATTTGAACCTTTTGAAGTAGTCACTTTATTATCTCCAATTTGCAGATAAGGAAACTGATATACAGAAAGGGTCAGTTATTACCCAATGTCTCACAGAAATTAAGTGGCAAATCTCACATTAATTAATTCATTCAAATATTTATTGAGCATTTATCACTGTTCTAGGGTCTTGGGGAATCAGCAGTAAACAATCAGACGAATTTTCTATCTTCATGGACCTTCTATTCGTTGGAGGAGAGGAAGTCACAATAAACAAACAAACATATAAATATGTAATAATTTCAGATGAAAAGTGCTGTAAAGAAAAAGCAGGCAAGGAAAGAGAGTGACACTAGTTGGAGGAGGTCTTTTTGTTAGGTGACATGGAAAATTTAAGATTCCTTCTCTCTTTCCTTCCTCCCTCCTTTCCTTCCTTCCCTCAGAAAATTTTACTAAACACCTGCTATATACCAGAGCCTGCTCTGAGGAGCTTACAGTCAGTGGGCTATAATAAAATGTGATGGTGAAGCCCAGGGTGCTGAGAGAGCACAGAGGTGGGACACTGACCCTGTCTTCGGTAGGGCAAGGAGTGATCAGGGAAGAAGGAAACATTTCCATTGAATATTCCAGTTTACATTAGACAAAACATCTTTTCTACAGTACAAAGTGCAATTTTCTACTGTGTACTCAAGGAAATCCCAAGGCATGTTAGGGTGTCAGATCTGCAAAAAGCCTTTACATGAAAGGGATACATTTATAATTCAAAAGTCTCTACTAGGTTGTCTTTTCAGTGAAGCCTTCTCTGACTTCTCCCCCCAGCCCCTGTTTAAAATTGCAAAACCTTACTACCACCACTAACATTCCTATCCCCCTACCTTGTTTTTCCTTTTTCTTTTTTTCCTCAGCACTTATCATTATTTCAGGTATTATCATGTTTTACTTATTTATCTTGTTTATTGTCTCTCTCTCCTACTAGATTATGAATTCCATGAGGGTGGGAATTTCTGTCTGTAGTCAGAGTATCTGGAGCACAGTAGCCATTCAATAAATATTTATAGGGAAGGAGTGAGGGAGGAAGGAAGGAGGGAGGGAGGGAGAAAGGGAGAGAAGGAAGGAAGAAGGGAAAAGAGAAAGAAGGAAAGAGAACCAGTCTGTCCCAAGATGTCCCATGCAGCCTCTGTCTAACTCAAAACCCTGGACTACATGGCCCCCAGGGCTGCCCCAGGATGTAATTTTACTTATGGCATGTATCACTTCCATACCTCCGAATGTTGGTCCAAAGGGCCATGATTCAAATCCTGCAAAGATCCCTCTTTGCTAGGAAGTTATACTCTGTTTACCCCTAGTTTATCAAGCCAAGTGCATTTTTCTGGTTCCCCCTGCCCCACCAAGCATACATTTGTTCAGCTATAAGGGCCAGGATGTCAGGAAACAAAGTTTAGTATGGCCCTAGCTAGGGTGAGAAGCTGGTAGATCCTGTCTCATGTTTCTGGGGTTGTACATAGATGGGGCTTCCCAATGTTGTGATTTCGTGCGACAACTTCCTTTTGTCATTGCCATTTTATTTCAGGCCCAGGAATATGCCACGAAAGCCTTCACCTTAGCCAAAGAAAAACTCAGTGTCCATGAACAAAACACCATTCAAGAGTTATTAAATCTCATCTCAGCCGAACACTCTCGTTCTCAGTGACCCATAAGCTCCATGTCAGGCGCTATTGAAGAGGTTATTGAAAGTCTTATATATCCTAGACTTGCACACTAATTTGAGGTACTATGGATTGCTGAAATTTCCACCCTTTTCCCTTAGAACTGCATATATAGCTGTAATTTTATTCTTACAAAGCGTATGTGATGGCAAGTAGACATAGAAAGGCGTAGAAATTAGTAAAACTAACTTTGTGATGCTGGGATGTTTGTTGCTTATCATGACCTTTGTATTTAGTATCCTTATTGAATTTTGCATAATAAGCTGTCAAATCACTAATACAGTGATAGTAATTGACCTGCAAATGTTTGTCATATTTCCCAGAAGTGTCTCCAGCAAATGCATGTTTCATAGGTTTTGCTAAAGAAGTAAGTAAGGAATGGAGCTATAGTGGAGCAAAGTTTCTCTATTCTGCTGGGATTGTTGTTGTTGGGTGCCGTCAAACTGGCTCATAGTGACCCCATGTACAACAGCACAAAACACCGCCTGGTCTTGCACCATCCTCACAATCCTTGCTATGCTTGAGCCCATTGTTGCAGCCACTGTGGAGTTAAGTTAGCACTAATCTGAAGTAGATTGCAGTTTTTTAAAAATGCCCATAATTCTTTGGAGCAGTCATTAAAAAAAATAACTCCAAAAAATACTTTAAGATCAAAGAATTAAGATGGTACTTGAGAAAATGTCTACTTAATACAAAAGAATCCAGTAAAAGATGAGACACATATGTTGGCAAAGGATACCAAAAGCACCATGGACTGCCGAAAGAATGAACAAATCTGTCCTGGAACATGTGCAGCTGGATGCTCCTTGGAAGCAAGAATGGCCAGGACTTCCGGTAAAGTGGAAGAATAGGCAGACAAGTGACCCAGACCCTCTTCAACAAAGAAAACAAAAACCAATTTACAGAGGTACAGAAGATAATCATGGAGCCCTGAGCTATGAAAGGAACTATACAAAAGTGGATTAGTCACCACCTACTGGAAAACCTGAATGAAAACAGTGAGTACAGAGACAGTCATAGCTGCAGACTGTCAGCTACTCTGATGGGACCAACAACCTGAATATTTCCAAGTGGTGTTGGGACCTGAGAATTGACCTAAAGATAAGCCCTGGTCACCAAGGGCTGCAGGGATGACTGTGTTGGTGGCCTATGACAAGGAAGGGAAACAGCAAGGAGGGAGACAACCTGAGCTATGGACTTTCCACTGTCTGGAGGGTGCAGCCATTCTGAATGTTTACAGGTGGTGGCCATTTTGAATATTTAAAGTGACCAAGGATGTAGCCATTTTGAATCTTTACAAGTGGCAATCATTTTGGATTTTAAAGTGACATCATTCTCATTCGGATTCCAGGGATATAAGAATAGGTCCCGGAAGGTCCTATTTGCCAAGGTCAGCAGGGGCATATGAGAGGCTGACAACAGGAAAGGAGACAGGTGGTGAGTGTGTAACTGCTGTCAACTAATGATACAGGAGCACAGCACAGTACCCTGCTTGCATAGATAACATACAGACAAAACAAAGAAAATGAAAATAGTGGTCAAGTCACTCCAACATACAATCACCAATTAAATATAAACACGAAAACGTCACAATACCTCAGAGACAACAGAGCATCACAGTCCACACAAAGAAGCAAGATAAAGCAGGAGAAACAAGGAACCAGGATACAAACCCAAAACATATCCCTGAGGAAGAGGCAGCATTGGAACTCCCTGATAAGGAATTCAAAAGAATTATATTTAGGTATCTTCAATGAATTGAGAGGCAGATCAAGGAAAACACTGACAAAATTGAGAAAAACACAGAGAAAACCCTAGAACAATTTCAAAAGACAATACAAGAATAAAATGACAAAATAAATGAAAAATTAGAAATGATACAAAATCTACACACAGAAATCCAGAAGATTAATACTAAATTTTCAGAAATAGATAAGACATTTAATGGGCAAAGGAGCAAAATTGAATCAATGGAAGACAGAATTAGTGAGATTGAAGGCAAATACCTGAACACTTCTTTGGAAAGGGATCAATCAGAAAAAAGATCAAAACAAAATGAAGAAAGCCTAAGGTTCATGTGGGATACCATCAAAAGGAATAACCTACATGTAATCAGAATTCCAGAACAGGAAGAGACAAAACCATGGAGAAAATTGTCAAAGATTTGTTGGAAGAGAATTTTCCTGGTATGATGAAAGATGAGAATATATCCATCAGGAAGTCCAGCAAACCCCAAACAGGATAGACCCCAAAGAAAACGCCAAGACATACCATCATCAAACTCACCAAAACCAAAGACAAAGAAAGAATCATGAGAACAGCACAGGAAAAGCAAAAAGGAACCTACACAGGGCAACCAATAAGACTAAGTTCTGATTTCTCAGCAGAAACCATACAGGTGAGAAGATATTGGGATGGTATATATAAAACCCTGAAAGAGAAAAATTTCCAGCCAAGAATTATGTACCCAGAAAAATTGTCCTTCAAACATGATGGTGAAATTAGGACATTTCCAGATAAGCAGAAACTAGGGGAATTTGTTAAAACCAGACCAACCTTACAAGACATGCTAAAGGGAGCCCTTTGGACAGAGAAGCAACAACAGCCAACAACAACTGACACTTAACACACATGATGACATAACCCAGAAACCAACCCAGCTGTGGAAGTATCCAAAGTAAATAAGCCTAAAAGAGTGTAAACAGGGAACCAGAGACACCAATTGACAAATGAGGGCAACTACAAACCAAAAAGAGGGAAAAAACTGTATAATCACAGCCCTTCTAAATGGTAGGGAAGTCAAGACAAGTACAAGATAGAACAGACTGTTCTAAACTGGGAAAGAAAACTATAAATCACAGGGTAACCTTAAAGAAAAATGATAAACCTTCACAAATATTTTTTTGTGTAGGACCAGCACAAATATTTAGCAAATACTAAAACAATAGCAATGACGGAAGTGATAATATGATTCATAAACTAAATGATCAGCATAGAAAATTATATGGAAGAAATCGACATCACAAAAAAGCACATAACAAAAATGACAGCAACAAATTCATATTTGCCAATAATGACATATCTGGCAAGTGACTTATCTCTAAGATTTATAGAAAACTCCAATGCCTCAACACCAAAGGAATTAACAATCCAATTGAAAAATGGGCAGAAGACATGAATAGACACTTCACCAAGGAGGATATTCAGGTGGCCAACTAATACATGAAGAGATGCTCACAATCATTGACCATCAGAGAGATGCAAATCAAAATGACAATGAGATACCATCTCACCCCAGCACTGATGTCAAGGTTCAATGAGACAGAAAATAACAAATGCTCACTGGGATGTGGAGAGATTGGGATTTTTATACACTACTGGTGGGACTGTGACGGGATACAACCACTGTGGAAAGCAATATGGCCATTTCTTAGAAAGCTGGAATTGGAGATACCATTTGACCCAGCAATCCCACTACTAGGTATATATCCTAGAGAGGTCAGAGCCAGGACACGAACAGATATATGCATACTCATGTTCATCACAGCACTATTTACAATAGCAAAAAGATGGAAACAACCTATGTGCTCATCAGCGGAAGAGTGGATGACCAAACTATGGTATATACGCATAATGGAATGCTCTGCAGCACTAAAGAATAATGTAGAGTCTGCAAAACACCTCATAGTATGGATGAACTTGGAGGACATTATACTGAGTAAAATAAGTCAATCACAGAAGGACAAATATCGTTGTTGTGGAGGGTCAAGGAACAGTTTATATATGGAGAGAAACTTTCTTTGCTGGTTGCCAGGGGTGAGAAGAGAGGGGAGGGAACACTGCAAAAAAAAAAAAAA